TGTTTCAATCATTATCTATTCATTATCTTTTCAACAATCATTTATGAGTATTTACTATAGTAGTTTTTAATCTTGGCTGCAAGTCAAAATCTTCTGTGAAGCTTTTTTAAAGCAGTGATTCCTGTGTAATAAACCCCTGAAACTAATTCAGTAGTTTTGGACTGGGGCCAGGCATCTTTATTTTTTCCAATCTCCATGAGTGACCCTGGTGTGCATTCAGGATTAAGAATCATAAACTTCTCAGTTAAGCGCAAGAGATGTAAGACTGAACACGAAATAGGTTCTCTTCACAAGGAGACCAGAGTCAAGTGAGTGAGGTAGACAAGTAAACTAGTAATTATGGTAAAATGTTGTAAGTGTTAGACTAGGGGTTAGTACACTTCCACCCATTTAGATCTAATGTACATCGGCCCAGTGTCAACCAAGTCCATAAAACACAGGAAGTTTTTCTCTTCGTACCAAGCCAAATGGCCTAAGTTGTGATTGCATCCATATTTTCTGTCTAGCTGTATGCCTTAATCAAATGAATTAGCCATACAAGATTCTGTAATTAAACTCAGGAAATTGAAAAGCAGAGACCAGTTTCTATTTTTGATAGCAGGATATGGGAGATGAGAAAGAGGTGACGAAGGATTGCAAAGCAGTATGCTCCTCAAGGGCAGGGACCAGGCCTCATTAATATTTCCTTCCATGGGCCTGATTCAGAATCCAGCACATGGGTAGGCATTGGATCTGGTGTAGTTTTGAATTTTATTTTTTCATGCTTACTACACAAATGCCCCTACCTACACTGTGTATATCTGAGAGAGTGCTGTCCCTTACACTCTGACCAGTGAATTTCACAAGGAAACACATTTGCTACTTGAGAGCCACAGGTTATTTGCTGAATAATCTTTACATTTTTTTTCTTCTTTAAAAAAAAAATTAAAAAAAAAATATATATATATTATTGATTTCAGAGAGGAAAGGCGAGGAAATCATTGATCGTTGACTATGCATACCCCACACTGGGGATCGAACCCACAATCCAGGCATGAGTCCTGACAGAAAATCAAACCTTAATCTCCTGGTTCATAGTTCGATGCTCAACCACTGAACCACTTCAGCCAGGCATTTTTAAACTATCTAATTTAAACAAATAAACTTGCTTAATTTTTTGTATTAGGGTCTTTTGTTGTCTTCTTGAGCATTTATACGAGTTTATGAGGGTTTTTTTATTACTTTAATTTCCATTTTGATAGGCTGTTTTATATTCTTTTGCTTCTCTTTTATTTCATTTTTCACAGTCTGCATTATCAACCTTTTTTTCCTAAGAATTACAAATGCAAAAGGGCCTGTATAAAGGAAGGAAGCCCTAGTAATGGAACCTATCTAAAATAAGGGAGGATGTATGCCTCTGGGGAGAGCTGCATAAAAAGGTCCACAAAGCATGTTGCCCTTATCATCTCCTGGTCCCTAAATATGGAACTTCAGGAAGTTGACAGGATCACACCTAGAAATTATTTTCAAGAAACGCAGTGAACATAGTCCAGATTAGAGTTCCCTAAACAAAAGTAAGAAAGCCTCAGAAGAAAAGTTTCTTGGATTGGAGTTATTTTGTTATCTTTAAGACCATCCATTCTTCAGCATAAGTGAAAGCTTTATTTTCTTTCTCCATAATATGGTATTGGCAGGGGCTAATGAGGTCTTATAAAGAAAAGCTTGTCATTACAGTGGTATTACACTATTAGCTTAGGGATTCATATACAGTTGTGGATGTGCTTAAGTGTGACTATAAATAACATAAACTTGAAGTTACATAATATAAAATATTAATAAAGCCTCACTTTATCTGAATACTTCAAATTAAAACAGATTCACTAACTAGAAGAACTAGTCAGCAATATTATAGTTTCACATCTAGATGGCTGAATGAATTATAAACTATAATTCTGCCATAAGAAAATGTCATTTTAGCTGCTAATCAGAAATGCCTACCATACTGTGTCATGTCAATGGAAACAATGTTGTTGTTCACATTAGAACTTTTCTCGTGATTTCATACATAATTTGGTTATTTTAACATTTCCTATTTTCAAAAATATAGGATGTCCTAAAAAATGTGTACATACTTTAATATCTGCTAGCTCACTTAATTTTCACTGCTTTTTAGGTTTAACTTATTTGAAATAATGGGTGAGGCCAAATTAAGCTTTGAGCAAAGAAAATTTACCCTAAAGTGCCACTAGACTTTTTTTTTTATGGAAATACATAAAAGATAACATTTATGGTATAAAACCAGCAACAGTTGACAAATTGAGGGCGCACAAATGCCGAACGAAATGATTCTTAATATTTTCGATTCCATTGCTTCTAATGCCTGGACTAGAATAGTCGTCAGTTTGAAAATAGCCAAAATAATGATTCATTTCTGTAGATTCCTTTAAATTTTGAAAATGAACTGTATGCTAATCAACACTGGCTTTATAGTCACTCAGTGTGTATACATTTTTAGGGGACACCCTATATATTTAATAACAATATTAAGGAAGTATTCATTAAGCTATCTGCCTTTCTTTCATTTCATCAGTTTTGTTAACACATTCCCAGGCATAGCTAATTCATTGCTATGTTAAAAATCATACCCTCAAATATACAGGAGTAGGCAAAAGGAGGTTTATGGAAAATAATACAATGTTTCATGTATTCACAACTGTAAACCTATTTTTTCTAACCTCTATATATGTTTGAAATGTGATAAAATATCAAGGGAGCTAGGCAATTACCACGTTGAGCTATACTTTTATTTTTTACAAAATGCTAAAGACAGTGTTAAGAAAAAGAAAAATTTTTTCAAAGAATTAAAGCAAAAATATTCCACAGTGTTTGTTAATCCTTTTTTTTCATGAATGTTTACCTCCTATTTTACTTTATCCATGCACATTAAAATGTATTTTATATTACATTTCTCCTTTGAGAAAATTTGTTTTGAATTATGCAAGAATTGAATCATGCAAGGTCTTAAGGAATGCAACCTTCCTCAAGTGTCCTCTAAATTCAAGCTCTACAGTATGGAGTTTCATGTTCAGATCCTTTAAATGTTTTGAATCACCTTCCTTGGTGACCAAAACTCTTTCCCTGGAAAATGATGAAATTAAATAGCAAATGGCAAGAAGCTGACCTCCCCCTCCAGCTTTGACTTTGACATTTTGTTTCTGAGAGACATGGTTGTTGGAAGATAAATTCCCTGATGTCTACCGTTTTCTAGCCTTTTAGCAAGATAGTTTTTGTAGGGAAGGAGTGAACGTAGAACACTGATGTAGTTAAAGTTAGATGCCAGGTTCTCAGCTCCTGGGTACATTGTTTCTTCCCTTTTCTGATCCAGTTTCCTGAGAAGAGTAATCACATGTGTGTTAGTGTACTTGGGATGCATTTACTATAGATGACTAGAATGTGAACAGAGGTTCCAGCCTTGGGTAGAAGCACACTATAGATACTCAAATTTCAGGATTGCAGTCATGCTTTCAGATCTTCATTTGTAGGAAATCTGGACTGGAAAGATTTCTCTGTGGGACAGTATTCTCTAGGAATTGGTGCCTAAATCAAATAAGAACACCTGTATAAATTCATTGAACATTATACTTTAATATCATTTGTATGCCAATGGGTGTAAGTTTAAGGAAATTATATTTATTGATTTGTTTAAAAATTAACATTTTTATGTTTATCTTGAAAATTAGATGCAGCGTGACTGGTCTGCATGACTTAAAATATTATATAAAGTAGTATCATATGTGTTACTTTTTACTTTGCTTCTTTTACATATGCTAGATATAAATTTATTATCAGATATATAACTTGCAAATTTTTCCCAATTTCTTTGGACTGTCTTTTTACTTTCTTGGTGGTGTCCTTTGAAGGACAAAGGTTTTTAATTTTTATGAAGTCTACTTTATTTTTTCTTTGTTACTTATGAGTTTAGTGTGTTTTAAATAAGAACATTTGCCAAATTCTAAATCATGAAGATTTAGCTCTGTGTTTTCACTTAAGAGTTTTACAGTTATTGTTCTCACATGTAAGTCTTTGATCTATTTTGAGTTAATTTTTGTGTATGATTTAAAGGTTCAACTTCATTCTTTTTATGTAGCTATCTGGTTATCCCAGTACCATTTGTCAAAAGATTAATCTTTCCCCATTGAGTGCTCTTGGCACTGTTGTCAAAAATCAGTTGATCATAATTATATGGTTTTATTTCTAGGCTTCCAATTAAATTTCATTGATCTCTATGTCTATTGCTGTGCTAGTATCAGACTATGTCAATTACTGTTGTTTTGTAGTAAGTTTTGAAATCTGTGTGAGTCCTCCTACTATATGTATTTAAATTATTGTTTATCCTTTTGCTAGTTTTCTTCTCTTTGTCTCATCCTGTTCTTTTCTTTTATCTACTTTTATGTTAAACAGTATTTTGTGGATAATTTTTAATTTATTTGAAAATGTCTTTGAACCTTTAATTTTAAAGAATAATTTTAGAATAGCCTTTTATCGGAAGACAGATTTTTTTCCCCCTTAGCTATTTAAATATCATCCCAGTGCCTTATACCCTCTATTGTCCTAATGGGAAATTAGCTGTTAATCATATTTTTGTTCTCCTTTGTTTAATGTATTGTTTTTCTTTGTTGTAGTCAAGATTTTTCTCATTATCTTTTGCTTCTAGTAGGGTTTGATTATAATGTGCTAGATGCAATTTCCTCTGTTTATTCTATTTTGGGGCATCATTGAACATCTTGTAGTTGAGAGCTTCTTTTCTGCTCCTATTTGACTCTAGTATCTTTTTATGATTTATGAAATAGGTTTTAAGCTTTGTTAAAATGCTTGAAATAAAATGGGAAAGTACTGATTAAATGCTACAATTTTCAAGGGAAATTTAATGCCTTAAATATATACACAACCCAGTACATTTACAGTAGAAAATATTAATGTTACCTGTCCTCTTTTCCTATTTTCACAAAATCTGTTTATAGGTGCATTTCCTCCTGCTGCTATTTATGCACGAAAAGACTTGCTACAACGATCTACCCATATTGCTACCAAGACTTTTCAAGCTTTCCGCATATTTGTGAACAATGAACTCAATGAACTTTACGCCGGACTGAAGACAGCTCAGAAGTTTCTGAGACCTGGTGGTCGTCTTGTTGCACTCTCCTTCCATTCCCTAGAGGATCGCATTGTCAAACGATTCTTGCTTGGGATAAGCATGACAGAAAGATTTAAGCTAAGTGTAAGACAGAAGGTGGCACAAACATCACAATTGGCTTCAAGGAATGAAAACAAGGAAGGAGTCTCTCTAGGAAGGGCCCCTTTAATGTGGGAATTGATACATAAGAAGGTGCTTACCCCAGAAGATCAGGATGTACAGGATAACCCGAGAGGGCGCTCAGCCAAGCTTAGAGCAGCTATCAAATTATGAGAAAGTCACAATCATCTGACCCTTCAAGTGTTCCCTCACAGTTTTTCACCTGGACAGATTAACACAAGAAATTATGGGGATATATGTTTATATAAGTATCTGGTCATATGTGTGGACATTGAAAATTTTTAGCATTTTTTTTCTCACAGAGAAAGTGTAGGTAATATTAATATGCCACAGAAAATTCAACTCAAGGAGCAGCAGCATCTCAAAATTGACAAATGGGTTTATCTTGACATTATTCAGGAAAATTCATCTTATCAATTATGGCTATATATTATAAATTGGTGATTCTAAGTGAATAAAATAGCCATATAATTACATGTACAAAAGATAAGAATTAAATACTTAAGTTCACTTTTGACTGATTTTATCTACCTCTGTAATATGTAACTTTAGTTTCAAAGCTTATTGACTGATTCTACTCTATAGGCTTTATTCAAATCTGAACAATTCTTTATTGAAATTAGAAATAGAAAATATTCTAGGGAACAATGTGCTCAAATTAGAAACAAAAAATGCACCTAGAAAAATGTTTCTTTTTTGCATGAAGTCATATTTATGAGTGAGAGAGATTCTCAAAGGTAAGTTCCCATCCAAGTACCTGATCAACACACAAAAGATCACACTCTTATATTCAACAGTGTTTCATCTGTTTCATCAATTATTTTTAGATCTGTATACTATGGGAATTTTTTTCGTTAATGTTAATGAAACTGGGTTAGATAGTGTCCTTCTGAAATCCATGTCCTTCACGGAACCTCAGAATGTAACCTTATTTGAAAATATGGTCATTGCTGATGTAAGTACTAGTAGTTAGGACAATATGGAGCAGGGCAGGCCCTTTATCAAATGTGTCTGGTGTCCTTGTAAGAAGCTGGGAAGAGACAGCGACAGAGGGAAAACGCATGAGGATGGAAGCAGAGATTGGAGCGATACATCTGCAAACCAAGGGAAACCAAGGACTGCTGGCAACCATCAGAAGCTAGGAGAGAAGCATGAAATAGATTCTCCATCAGAGCCTTCAAGAGGAGCCAGCTGTGCTGACACCTTGATTTCAGACTTCCAGCCTCCACAACAGGCAGAGAATAAATTTCTGCTATTGTAAGCCACCCAATTTGTGGTAATTTGTTACAGCAGCCCTAGGAAACTAAAACTCTGACAGCAAAAAATCTTGAATAAGTTTCATGACAAGAAGGTTTCTTCAATAAACAAAAAATTGCTTTCAAATTGTTGTAGTGTAAACATATATTAGCTACTTTATGTAATTAGACTGTTTACCACAATCATTCTTGCTTACTTTTTAGCTCTATAAAATAAAATATATGAATGAGGCTTGGGAGTAGAGAAATAATGAATCAATCTCAAGTACATGGTACTCAACATTTTCACCTATTTCCCCACCCTACTACTATCCTTTGGCAACCATCAGCTTGTTCTCTGTAGATCTGTTTGTTTTGTTTTGTTCCTTTGTTTTGTTTTGTAGGTTGGTTTTTTAGACTTCACACATAGGTAAAATCCTACAATATTTGTCTTTCTCTTCTTTATTTCACTTTAGCAGAATACCCTCTAGGACAATCCATTTTGTCCCAAATATTAATAGTAAGATTTTATTCCTGTTTTCACAAATTAATATTCCATTGTATGTATGTACCACCTCTTCTTTATCTACTCACTTACTGATGAATATCTAAGCTGCTTTCATATCATTGCTGTTGTCAGTCATGCTGCAGTGACCTAAAGCTGCATGTCTTTTTGAATTCATGTTTTTGTTTTCTTCAGATAAATATTCATAAAGAGTATTGCTGGGTCATATGGCAACTCTATTTTTAATTTTTTGAGGATTCTCTTGTACTGTTCTCCATAGTGGCAGTACCAATTTACAACCTACCAAATTGAGTGAAGGTTCCATTTTCTTCACATCACTTGTTATTTGTTGATTTTTTAAATGATAACCTTTGTTAAAAGAGTGAGCTGATATTTCATTATAATTTTAATTTGCATTTCCCTAAGGAAAAGTGATGTTTAGCATATTTTCTTATGTCTGTTGGCCATTGGATGTCCTCTTTGGAGAAATGTCTACTCAGGTTCTCTGCTTATTTTTTTAATATGAATGAGTTTTAAATGGTTAATTCTGGGGAATATTTTTGGGGAATTCAAGCAATATTTATGGAAAATAAAAACTGATTGTTAGCATGAAAATGAATTGCTTTTCTAATAAAATATAAAGAATATAAAACCAGCAATTGTTTGACATTTCTGAATCTCTTTATCAACTGCTTCTACCAATCGTTTTAATACAGCATTGATGATATTATGTAACACATCGATTCTTAATAAGTTTTAGATCATTGCTTATTAATAAATAAAATTTAATAACTTCACATAATTTATAGTTGATATCCTCATTTTATATATCCTTTTTTATAATTGTATATGTTACTATATGATCTCTTTGAAGTTTCTAGAGTTTTATTTTCTGAGATAGTAATCACATCTACATATATTTTATGTAATATGTGATATATGATTTGTGCTTAAATTCATTTAAGTTAAACCAATAGTTTATAATATATTTTGCCTAATTAGATTTTTGAAATTAAATACTGCCTCTTAAAAATTTACATATTTCAAATATTATTTGAAAGTCATAGTTTTTAGTCTTTGCAGAGTAAAGGTTTATAAAATTATTTTTTTTAAATTTTTAAAGAATAAGAAGCAGTAATAATGATGAATCTATACTTTGGACTTTTAAAAGTAATTTTAATTTCATTTGAAATACTCATCCAAAAATTATGATATAGTTCTTAATGTTAAATTCAAAATATACAACAAATACAAAATTTGTATCAATACTTTCATTTGGTAAAATATATGTATTCATTCCATAAGCATATATTAAAACAGACCATTTGGAAGAAATAAAAATCATCTCTTCTTTTTATACTCCTCATTTTTCCTTCGTTGTTCACATTGGTATGTGAATTTCTTGTATGTGACCTTCATTTATAATTCTAATTTACTCTGGACAAAAATATTAGACAATATTAGGAGCTACTCTCATTACTAAGATTCTATAATATGGATCTTAGCATGTTGAGATCCATATTAGAATCTTTGCAATTGATAAGGATAACTGAAAATTGTTTCTATAATATTTATTTTAATGTATTTTTTTCTATTTAGTTTTTGTGATTGCTGCAGTATTCTAATAGATACTTTTGTGTAAACAGTCTATAATAGAAATGCATAAACATTAAAATGTAAAAAGTATTTGTAAGGTGCTGGATAAATATAAAGTTAATTATAGAAATTGTGATCGGAGATATATTTTCCTCAGAACCACAATGCCATATGTCCCATGTTGAATGAAGTATGTTTTGTAAAAATCAGCATCATATTCTAAAGAGGCTGGATTGTATAATAAGAATAACTATTTTTATATTATATTCTCAAATTTCATCTGTTTATAGATACTATTTCCAACTAATGTTTGATAACACACAACAACAATCTGCAGGAATACTAAAATAAAGTTTACTAGAAATAATTTTTTTTTTAAGTCTGGTTACATAAACATTAAAAGTTCAATAGAATTAATTATGCAAGGTGCAATGGTTACACTTTGTTATACCTATCATTTAGGTAGACCTTAAAATTCTTCACAGACTTTTTGGCCACTGATTCTTTTCTCAATCTATTAAAATTTTTAGAAAGCAAAGGAAAAAAATAAAATGTAATGTTCTGATATGCAAAGTAGAAAGTTGCTTCTTTGGTAATGTCACCACTTATTAGGCAATTCTTTATCTTAAAAACTAAAAAAATAAATAAAAAAATAAATGTTATCATATGACTTATTAGCTATATCACTGCCCAGACACTAGAATATAAAACTGAAATCAAACAAGAGGACATGTTCCATTTATGATTCTCAAGTAATAGCTTCTGTTCATTAAACTCCATCTTTAGGCTTTGGCCAGTAATACTTGTCTGCCTTGCACAGGGTGAGGATTTGTATTGCAAAACAAGCAATACAAATTTGGTATGAGTCATTCTGTCACAGGAAAAGTATGGTCATGCAACTCTTGCAGGTGTTACACTGAGGAGGTTGTATAGCAATGTAAATAACATTACTGGTTTGGAATTAGAAAAAGAAACAAGTTTGATTCCAGGTCTACATCTATTAGCTAAATATATGAACTTGAGCATGTTTTTTAATCTGAGTTTTTATTTCACTTTAAAATGAGGACATTATTGATACTTTTCTCCTCCTATTGCTATATAATCAAGTAAGTCACCCAATAACCAGTCATGAAGCAATTAGGCATAATTTTTTAAATAAAAAAATACACATCATAAAAAAATACCTATGCAATATTTAGGAAAAATACTGTAAATATGTTCAAGAAATTAAAAAAGAACTGAAAACTATAAAGAATAAGTCAATAATTCTGATACTAAAAGACATAGTATCCAAACTAAGAACTCAGTGGATTAAGAGCAAATTATACCCAGCTAAAGATGGTGAACTAGAAGATATTTTAGAAAGAAATGGAGAGACAAAAAGAAAGCACAGAGTATAAGAGACATAATACTTACAATAATTCTTATTCATGTATAATTAGAATCCAATTGGAGAAAAGAAAAAAAAATGGAGCAGAAGTTATATTTGGAGAGAGATGACTGAGAATTTTCCAAAACTGATGAAAGTCTTTAAGCTACAGATTCAAGGTGACTCCAAACTTCCGAGGAATAGCTCTTAAAATCTGCTAGAAACCAAAATCAAAGGACAACAGACATTCTGTCTTATACATTTCTTGGGGAAAGAGGATTTATTCAATAATGAACTCCAGCAAACCAAGATATGAAGCAGAAAGTCAATAAGGGAGAAGTTTGGTAAGAGATATGTTGATAAGCTTGAAATCCATGTAAGTAATAGAGAGCAGGAGGCAATACTATCAAATTTTGAAACATAGTTTATTTTAAAAATGATTTCCTTT